AGAAAAAATAATTGTTACATATTGGATTTTTAAAATTTTTTGTGTATTGTCGGTGTAGATGACTGTTCACCGATTTCTCGCAAGTTTGTTTGAAGTTAGGAGGGTTTTTATTTTTTGTGCGTATTCTCAGAGCATTTTTATTTGGTTTTCTTGGAATTGGCTTCTTGATGATATGGAACATTTGAGTGTAGTGTATTACTGAACATTTTAGACTCTATGCGTCACTTACAGGCTTCGTACTGAGTGATAAGGTCTGTACAATTCTGTAGTGTGCTATCTTTCCAGTGACCACAGTAAGAAGTACACAGTCAGTTAACATCTGAAGTTAACCCCGTTTGCTGCTGGAAACATAATTGAAAATTGCTTTCTACTGTGTACTTCACTGATATTAAGTTTTCGATTTGACGAGGAAGGCACCAAAGGTAAAAAATATTGTGGAGCTGAGCTTGAAATTGAAAGATGCTTGGGAATTGCTAAAGAACGCTGTAGTTGCTTTTGTGTTGCATGGCTTATACTGCAGACTTGGAAAAACTGATTTTTGCCAGGGGTATTATGCACCGTAGCTCGAGTCTGTCTTTTTTTTCTTTGGCTACTGGGTCGCCAGTTTTTTTGGTTTTGACAATAGTGACCAGTTAAATGTTTAAATAACTCTTGACAGCGTCATCTGTGACCACATATCATTTTAGACAGTTTTTTAGTTTTGAATTATACCAGTAGCATTTAGCTGTGGAGGGGATTCGCAAAAGGGTTAACCCTCAATCGTCCACTGTCGTTAAACGTCGTTGTTTTGCAAACAATGCCCATGATAAAGAACCGTTCAATTATAAAGATTAAGAGGTGACAAACGCAATCATATTTACCAAATATATAAGCATCTGTCGTTACAGAGAGCGAACCTGCTGGCTTTAATAGACAAAATGTTCGGCATATTTCTTGTAAACTGGAAGATGCGGAGTCAGAAGGACGGAGTTATCGGACGATATGGAAATTTGTTCAAAATGAGCATATGGAATTTCGAATTTCAAGTATGATTATTGTTGTAAGGTACTGTATTTTGAAGGATAATTTAACTTCGGAAAAATTGTTCATCAAGAAGACGATGGTGAACGACGTTTGCAGAGTTCATTCTGCTAGCATTATTTTCGAGACTGACTGTATTCTTTTTTTTTTCTTTACCAGCCTTATTTAAAATCTTATATGGTTAACCAGCTTGTGTGTCTTTGTTTGATTGTCGGAAAAACTGGATAGTTTTGAACCATTCCATGATTTATGGGACCTAAATGACGATTCTTTATCACAAGTTCTTTTTAAATTCGTATTTGCAGGTTTTAGATGTCATTAAGTTAGGTTGACAGGAAAATTGGTTATTTGAAAGTTACTGAAAATTTGTCATCAAATTCATTGGTTTTTTTTTGTTTTTTTTTATTTCGGCCTTTAGACAGTTTAGAGTCTTGAATAGCATTATGTTGTCGTTGAAGAACCAATTTGAGCGGTGGACCACCACTTAGGTGCTAGCGTTTTTAGCAGGGTTGAAACTTCTTATGGTGACGGTGATCAGATGTCAGATGCAGTCGAGTTGCTGAACAAGTCTGTAAGTTTGGTACTTGGAAGTTTAACAAAGTTTTTTTTTTAGGAGGGGGGGGGTGAAGGCGGGGAGGGTAATGGACGCCCGACTCAGTTGTCTAGCCGTATGTGCATATGTACAATTCTAAAGGTTCAGTTTGAGAAAGGTAGAAAATTTTTTGGAGGAAGAAACCGACTTTTGTTCATCATATAAAGAGGTACTTTATATATAGATTTACGCGTGTATATGTAAATAAGTAAATATATATACACAGTTGTCTGCTTGTTTGTCTGTTGCTGGTCAGAAACCAAAATTGCTTTGCCAAGAGATTTTCTACATTTTGTCGATTGTTCCTTTTTCCTTTATTTTTTTTCCTTTTAATTTATTCCTCTATCTTATTTTATTGTCTGCATTTACTTTATTTATTTTAAATGATGTTATTTATTGCCTTTTTCTTCTAGCTTGGTGCAGAGAGAAAAGTAATTTTTTTTCATTTTTGTGGGTGAAATTTCTTTTTTATTTCTCTTCTTTGGTTTCTTATACTAGTAGTCTTGTATAAATACAAATAAAGAGTTTATTGAAGGTGCTAAAGTAATTTATTTATCTGCCTAGTATTAAAAGTAGTGAATTAATTTATAAGTACTTAACTTTCTTCCAATTTTTTTCAGTTCTAAATTGTATTTATTTAAAGATTTTGACTTTTTTTTTTTGTGTGTGTCTGTGTATGTGTGATGAAATCGTAAAGCGGTCAGTAATGTTAGTTAAGTGGTTGCATTTCGTAAGGCGGAAGAAATAAGTGGGGAAGAATTATTTGAATAAATTACTGAAGTTTCTTAATTATTTATTCTCTTGACTTATATTTCTGCATTAATAAGTGATTATTTTACTTGTTTATTTATTTTACTAGTAAATAAATAGCTCAATGAAAAAAAAAATAACTGTTCTTTAACGAAGCACTGAAATAAAACTATTTGATGGTTCTTGTTTAGTTAGGGTTTTTTGCCTTTTTTATTTTACCAATATATACTGCAATTATTCGAACAAGAACAGAAATATTCTAAATGTGTTAGCAACTTTATATGGTTTTTGATTTCTTTCTCCGTAAACTATCATTAGCCTAACCTACTTCTTGTCTTTGATCACTTCCTTCAGAAAATAGAAGGTTTAATAAATTTCTAAACAGTACAAAAATCTCATTTAGTGCTTGATAACTTCCGATTTTTTGTTTTAAAACTGTTACGCAATTACTGTATTTGATTGATATTCGATATTGTTTTGGTCGGTTTACATCTGGGATTTCAGTTAACTCGTATTTCAGATTATATTTTCGATGATACTGTAATTTCAAATATGGAAAGTGTATATCGATATGTATATAGTTGTGAAATAGATGCTGATCTGAAAATTCGAGTTTGTTCTCTTACAGGGACACTGCCGAGAAATTATAGTGTGTCACCTGCAGTTATAGGAAACAATTTTTACGTGACACTTTCAGTGAGTATCTTCGCTATAAAACTGTATATATTTGCAGGTTTAAATTAGCAGTTCTTTTAAAGCGGCATCTACTTGTAGGTGTATTGTAACAAAAGGATTGTTGGTTTTCCAGTTTCGACATCTTATAAACCCCAAGAAGCAAAACCACCAAACAGTAAGGATATTTTGCATCACTGGGGTGAATGGATTACTCTGCCCATTAAATACAGGTATTTTGAACAACTCAGGGGGGAATAAATGTTACTGTTATTACTGGTGTGTTGCTTACAGTGAACTGAGTCGTGATGCACGTATACACGTTGAGTTATGGGATGTATCAGAAAACATGGAGCCGCGTTTTGTTGGTGATTCGACGGTTATACTATTTAGTAAAAGAGGAGTTTATCGGCGTGGTATCACTTTGCTCCCTATTAATACCGAATTAAATAAGGATGTTCCTCTGAAAACATCAGTGGTATTTGCTTTTTCTTCGAAGGATATTTTGAAAAAAAAACTGAAATACATTTATTGTATTTGGGATGGTGCATTGAAGGAGCCTCTGCAATAGAAACATAACTTTTAACTGCTAAAGTTTTATTTTCTGAGTGACTGCATGGATATAAAACAACAGCACATTTAAACCTAAGGTGTTGATAATTCGCACTTTTTTTGCTCCCACATCGTTATACTAGCTTTTTTTTAGCTTTATGTTTTTATTTTTAACAGTCTATTAAATAATTTAAAATCGTGCTTCAATTTTTTTAAGATATCTGAAGTGGACAGGCTAGCTAAACATACTAAAGAATATAATGAAGGATTGATTGAAAATGTGGAATGGCTGGATGGCTTTACTTTTTCTTGTGTTGAAAAGATTAAAAAGAGGGTAATTTTTTTTGTATATTTCCACGAAAGCAATATTTAATGTTAACAGCGCTTTATTTCGTCTTCAGTATTTCCGTTTTGATTATTTCTTGGAAAGCAGATTTTTATGCTTTCCAGACTCGTATTTTAAGGTAAATCTGTATGTGGTTTCGTGTTACTGGTCTTAAATTTTAGAAGGAACAGGACACACATGATTTGTATTTGTTGCTTGAAATGCCTTTTGCGAAGTATGATAATCATAAATATGCCATTGTTTATTTTGAAAGGGACGATGCGACAGATTTTGTTGCTGGGACTAGTAATAATAGTTTACTTACGGACCCTGAAATCGGATTTGAAAATCTTTGTGAAAATAAGCATTTAATGATGACGCGTAATGCCCGCACAGGCAAAATTGACCAGAATTTGAAACCAAATGCTGTTGTTCGGGATGTCCTTAATAGCATTATAAAGGTACTTACCAAATTCTGTCATGAATTATTTTACGTTTAAAGATACTATGGTGGAACGATATGATTGGTTAAATAATTAGGATAAAGTTTATACGCTTAGATATTCAGATTCCATCTACTCGGGAGATGAGTGTGGAACAACGGGACCTGATATGGAAGTTTAGGTATTATTTAAAAAGCGACAAAAATGCTTTAGTAAAATTTGTAAGAACCGTAAATTGGGAGGAAGGTGAAGAAAGTAAGCAGGCTCTGGATTTAATAAGGTTAGTAGCGCTTTTGCATCCTTCGACAGTGTACTTTCGTAATTTCTGAACCGAGGTAGGTCTTTACAACTAATTTAGTTATTGTATCATTTTAGAGAGTGGGAGCCTGTGGATGCTGCTGATGCACTAGAATTGCTTTCACCTGCATTTTTAAACAAGGATGTTCGACGGTACGCAGTTTCCAGGCTTGCATGCGCCAGTTCAGAACAGATTTTGATGTTTCTTCCTCAACTAGTACAGGCTTTAAAATATGAAGCCTTTGTTTGCGAAGATATGTCTATCGTAGGAAAGCAGTCGGAAGTAGGTGTCCTCAATAAATTTTTAAAAAAATTTAGTAGCGGTAGGCCTCTCGTTCATTATTGTTAGTATTCTGCTCATTATTGCAGTTCTTACTTTTGTTTTTTAAGACTATTTTTGATGACATATCCGCTCGTTCATTAATGCCACAGAAAAGTTTTAATGAGCGAAAAACAGTTAGCACTGATGAATACTCTGGCGATGACCTTTCTGCGTTCCTTGTGCGGTCAGCTTGTAACGATCCAGTATTAGCAAATCATCTGTACTGGCTCTTAAAAGTTGAGGTAATTTCTACTCCTTATTTTTTGAAGTTTCCTCAGCTTTACCTTTTCTTGTTCGGAGTGAAAGTGATTTTTTTCTGGTGGATGCAACAGAAAAGAAGGACCCATCTACGTATCATATTTACGTGCCTCTCCTGACTAGACTTCTAGATGCACTCGCCGCGGGGAATCATGAGTGTAAGGAACGCAGTGCTTCATTACAGAAACAGCAGGTGAAAGCGTTTTATAAGTTTTCACTTCAGACAAATTTACCATACGTTATTTATTGGTACAACTTCTCTATATTGAAGTGAATTTTAGACCCTTATTTAACTGGTTTTTTATTCTTTCCTCTTTATTTGAGTAATCGCTTAGATGTCTGAGTATTCAAACCAAAATTTTGTGCAAAGCTCCCCTCACTTAAATGAAAATGACTGATCTTAAATGTACCCTAAGATAATTATGCATTCAAGTAAAAGTTTTGGAAGTTTTGATCACCGGTTTCGCCTTGCTTTTAAAGAATATGATTCCTCACCGCAGTAGGCAGGCTTTTCTTAACACTTTTATCAAATACTAATTTTTTGAGGAAAATTTTCCATCAAAAAGTTTTTTGAGAGTTTTACTGTGGTTGTAAGAAGAACCTGACTGGCTGTTTTTCGTTTACCCGATTATGAGATGGAACAGAAAAGAGGAATACTCCTACGTATCATATTTATATGCCCCTCCCAAAATGTTGCAAAATAAAAGAGAAATAAGGTTCTTGCGAAACTTTGTCCGGTCTACTGTTATAACTGTCCATCAGTAGCTCATATTTGAAGCGGTGTTTTTGTCAGAAGTTGAATTAAGCCTTTTTTCTTAGCTGTTGAAATTTCTAGCGCATGGTTGACATATTAGTTCGAATGTCCAAGTTAGTGTCTCAAGAAAGCGGCAACCGGACTCAGAAGGAATTAGCTTTACGGAAAGCTCTGCGAGGTGAAGAGTTCCTGCTCAACCTAGAGGGGCTATCCTTACCTTTAGACCCTTCTGTCTTTGTAAAAAATGTCATCCCAGATTCGACAACCTTGTTTCAAAGCAATCTCATGCCAATGAAACTGATTTTCAATACTGTCGATGATCGGAATTACGTAACGATTTTCAAAAGAGGTGACGACCTGAGGTATTTCTGCATATCTGCCACCTAATTAATTATAAGTTTCTTTGAACATATTGTCGTAGGTTATAATTTGATTTGTCTAATTAATTGTTGTTTTCATTTGTCTATGCTTCCCATCACCATTTTGAGGAGCAAAAACATCTTTATTACAGTAGATCATTGAAACTGTGGTTTAGAAATTTTGTTTAGACAAGACATGTTGGTCGTGCAAATGTTTCGGCTTATGGATAAGATTTTAAAAGCAGATAATCTTGATTTAAAATTTACGTTGTACTCCGTTCTTGCTACTTCGATCTCTGAAGGGTTCGTTCAGTTTGTGAAGGCGACGCCTTTGCGCAATGTTGTCGCTCAATATAAGTCAATTCAGGTTTGGCATTATTTTACGACTTTCAGCTCACAACTTCTAGTTCCTGTCCACAACCTCACTAAAAGCGTAGACTGCGTTACAGTTGAAGAAGCACTGTAGGAAATCATGTGTTTTTACAAGTATATTTTCCTTCCAAACATCTGCTTATTTTTCTGACTAGGACTTTCTCCGCTCATTTCGACCTTCACCAACAGGACCATACGGAATAGAGACAGAAACCTTTGATAATTACGTACGCTCTTGCGCCGGCTACTCAATAGTATGCTATATCTTAGGAATTGGTACCAACCTTACAATGATTTTCAAGATTTTTGAGAAGAGATGAGAGAACTGTTATAAAGAGAGTACGTTCTCTACAAGAAAGTGAATTGTTTCAGGTGACCGCCACCTAGATAATTTGTTGCTTTGCGAGAATGGTCGACTTTTCCATATCGACTTTGGTTTCATCCTAGGTCGTGATCCGAAACCCTTGCCGCCACCAATGAAACTAACTGATGATATGATTAATGCTATGGGTGGCACTCAGAGGTAAGCTGCTGCATTATTTTCTTCTCTCAGCAGAAATCAGATTTTCTTTGATGTCACGGTTTTTCAGTCAGTACTACCAGGACTTCCGCACCTTCTGCTCCTCCGCGTTCAGCATACTGCGACGCCAAGCGAACCTCATCTTGAACCTTTTTACTTTAATGCTTGATGCTGATATCCCTGACATTGCAATCGAAAAAGAAAAAGCAGTGCAGAAGATTGAACAGAGGTAAGACGGATTTTACCGCCGTAATTAATGACGAATGTCCCTTAGAAGGAATACCGCTTACTTAATCTATCGTTTTGCAAAAAAATTTTCACTATAAAATATTAAAATGGCGATTACTTGACAGATTCCAATTTGAATTGACTGAAGAACTTGCCGATCAACAGATACAAGCAATTATTGATAAATCACACGGAGACAAGATGTCAAAGATTGTTGATTTTATCCATGATGTGAGGCAGATGATTTCAAACTAATGGCTCCGTCATATCCGTGTCTTTCATAGTCTGTGATAACACATTCACTTTATAGGTGAAATGTGTAGCAATTTTTGTACCTAATATGTGCAGGTCACTTAATTCTTCTTTAAGTACTCTCGATTATGAACACAATAGAGCAGTAAATTTTATTAGTAAAAAACAGAAGAGAGTTCCATTGATTCACAACATTTTCTGCTCTAACTAAGGGACGAAGCAGAAATTCATTTACATACAGCCATTCAGAGTTCAGAACCCTTTTACGCTACAAATTTTGAAGGCAATCATATCACCATGACCCTGCTCAACCAATCTCCTTATATCTCGGCAAATAAAATATATCACATAAAACAGTACATCAGAGCAACCCGCCAGTAACCTTCGGTTTGAAAAGCAGTAGTATCATCGGTCAAACAAAAGAGGGTATAAGCAACAGGTCAGCCGGTTAGCTCAGGCCTCCCGCTCAAGTTCAGCGACAATATCAAACAACACTTTACAGCAGCAAAACCGCATTGATACATCCGTCGTTTTCCGGATGGTTTGTAACCTGCGCATACTTACCCCACACGATCTTTCCGCCCTGCGTGACCATACCCAACTCAGAAACATTTACCTGGAACCAAACAAAATTGATCAATAATGAGCAAGGTAGATAGGATTAAATTTTGGGTGTTTCATTCCATACCTCAATGATAGTGCCTTTCGTAATGACTCCTAAAGAAGTATAGGTCGGGGAAGAAGGGTTCTTTTTAACTCCAACGATTGGCAAATAGAACGTAGTTTGTAACTCCGGGTGTGTGACGTGGGCCTATGATAAAATGCTTTTTCGTTTGTCAAATAATAAGGTGCTTACCTTCCAAAAGAAAGCGTTGAAAGCTCTAGTCAGTCACAAGTTTAACACAAATTCCATGTGGGAGTTTAACTTCGATGACTGACAATGGGTAAAAAACAACTTTATGAAAACAACCGAAAAACAAAACCGTTTTAAAATGAAACCACAACGGCTTAAATAACAGTTAGAAAAGGGAATGTTGCAAGAAGAGTTCAATACAATTACTTTGTTAAACCGCAGTCCCATGGGCCGGATAAATCTTTCAAATTTCGCTGGTTTGCGAGTAAACGTTTCACCAACAAAGGTAACCTTTGTGACCATACGCTTCCATCCTTTTCTTCGGGTCTTCCCGGTTTTGACTACTTTAAAAGCTTCTGCTTCGCTTACAGCTTTTACTTTTGGTAGAGGCACTTGATATTTACCCTTGAGAAAAGAAACGAATGTAAGTTAATATTCAATTAAAAATAATCTTAGTCACAAAAAAGACTATCTAACTGGAAGACTAATTAGCTGTTCGAATCCTTACAGCTTTCTGCTTCCTCTTCTGCTTGATCATGCTAGAGAGCAGTGTCCCAGAAGTCTGCTGTTGACGATCAAGTAAATAAGCTGGCAACGCATTCTCGTCCTTCTTTTCTACTGTGCTCTTCTGCTGTTTCTCCTCATGCTGTTTTAGCAACTTTCTCATTTCAACCTAAAAACTGTTCATATTTATTTCGTGTTTGTAATTATAAAGAAAGCCTTTAGCAAAATTCATACCTTTTCCGCATACCGTTTCTTGTGGTACAGCTTCGCTTTTCCTCCTCTTATAGTTTTAGCAAGTTTGGACGCCTTATGTGGGGCTCGCGCTAATCTTTTCCTCCTAAATTAAAGTTCTTTAATACTCCCTGGAATCAAAGAGGAAAGGTAAGCGAAATTTTTGAGGCAAAATCTCAGGGATCCTACAAAACTGTATGTGGGAAACTTACATTCGCTCTTCATAGTCCAATCTACGTCCGTGCCGCTTGCGGAAAAGCTCTATATGCTCGTTCTGTGGCTAAAAATCATATTTGCACAAACATTGGAAAATTTTTTGAAGAAAAGCTCACTTAAAAAGAAGCCTAGATAGTACTAAACTAATGAAAGAACGTAAAAAGATCCGTGATCAAATTTTAATAGCTACTTAAAAGTTTAAAACTGAAGTCACTGAAAGCCAATAAACTCACAAACGAATATCAGCAAGAAGAAAAAAGGAGAGGCAAGAAAGAGAGTGAAAAACTTATCCAAACAAAAAAAAAAAAATTAAATTTAAGCATACCATCTTTGTGCCCTCCGAACAAACCCTTTCAGCCTTTCAACAAAATCCTGAAACCTTTCTGATGAGTCTGTACATCTGTATCAAAATATTCATATACCCGGAATGAAAACAAAATGACACTGCTCTTTTAAAGCCTAAATATTAGAAAATATGTAAAAGTAAACCGTTAAGAACGAACTACATGAAGAGCTGTAGAAACTAACAGCAAGCTAATCGACAACCATTTATTTCTTATTCGCTTCAATTTATTTAAGCTACCTATCAATCAAAGACGGTTCAAAACAAACAAGAACCAAATCTGAAAAAAATAAACGATCTGAAAAATATTAAGAGCGTCAAAAATCCAATAAATAACTCGTTCTGTTATAAACTTCTGCACCTCACTTTAACAAAAGTGAAAAACAAAAACAATAAACAAAGAACAGCCAAGTGAAAGACAAGTAGTATAACACGAAAAGAGCTTAATACATCAAAGATCTTGCTAAAAAATTTGCAACTATGGCAAAAAATCTTCAAAACTTTCCGTCTCCAAAATGACACATTATTCGCCAATAATAAGAGGTGTAGAAAAAGAATAAATTTTAAACTTTTTTTTTTCGAGAACAGTAATGCCGTATAACAAAATAATCAAAAAAAGAAAAATGAAAAAAGAAATAAAAAAGAGCTATCATCAGGTATCTTTAAGAAGTCTGTTGTTACATACACGTTTTATTTACAATATTTGCCATAAAAAAAACAACTGAATAAGAGTCCTCTAGCCGAGAAAGCAACAAATATGGTTCTAGTAACGTGGTAGAACGCACTGATGTTTTTGCTAATCTATATAAACACTGCAGTACAGAATTTGAAGCCAATGGCTCACCGAAAATAAAATTTTGTAGAAAAAAAGTTAGAGAACAAAACTATAAAATGTCAAGAACGACGAAGTTTCTTATATGAACCATGATGTGGTGAATGCACGCGCTTACGTCTGCTACGCAATTGGCCAGACAGAAACGAATTCAATTCAGATACATTTTGGCCACAAGTAACACTAGGTGCAATGCACAGCGCCTAAAAATTTCCAAAATCATTGTAAAAGACTTATAACAAAAGCTCTATAAGTGAAAACAAAGAAATTATTTGAAATAAAAACGAGAAGTTACAAACAATCCTTTTAGTTTGTTCAAGACCCATCCCGTAGAAAGCGCTGTGCCATGGAGACCAGCAAGAAGCCAAGTTGTGCCTCACCTCTTGAAACAAATGAATTGCATGGCTCTCCGTTGCTTCAGGAGATGGACTACGAGAAATCCTCCTACGTTCCGGAGAACAGGCGACCCTACTAAGCAACTTCCATAATTCCTCTAGAGTCAGCTCTCGATATCTCCGCATTCCTACAATCTCCTTCGCGAAAGATTGTCGTCCTGCAGCATAACCTTAAAAGAAACCTTGAAGCAATCCAAAGGCAGTCAAAACATTTTTAATCACGTTTCAGTTTTCATGGCTTAAAAAATGGTGCAATACAAAACCAACAACACCGCAAAAACTTCTTCTGGAAATTTCTAAACGAAAAATATTCTCAGTTACAACGTGGAAAAAACCTTTCTCAAAAGCATTTTTCTGGTGTTCTAAACCGCTCTTATATAACTGCGTTGTAGATGCAGCAGCAGTTTGAAGGGCTCGCCATGAGGGGTTGCGATACAACAATGTCACTGCTTGAGCGCAGTTTTCAAACTCTCGCCACAGTCCGTCACTGATGTCGTCGTCAAAACGTTTTCCACCACCATCGCTCATTCTTCTGACAAATTTATACGTTTAGAAATAAAAAATACAAGAACAGTACAAAAACCTACATAAGTACAAAATCTGTACCACTCCCTTTTTTTTTTTGTTAGTAACTAACCAATGAGGAAAAAAATTAACTTCAACTTGGAAAAGAAGTGAAAATTCAAGTTGAAGAATCATAGACAGAGCCACTTACAAGCCAAGGAAGTAACGTTACTGTAAAACAGTGCCAGTTGCTACGCCTTGCGACAGACCCTAAAATTAAAACCTAAAAAATAAACAAACGCAACATGCATTTACAATAATGGCTGTTACAATCGCTGTATATAGAACCGTATTAGCCAGGCCGTAACTAAAACACCTAAAAATTACCTTTCTCATAGAAAACAATTTTAAAAAAACCTCATTTCCTCATCATCACATCCCACCACCTCCTCTCCCACTTTCACTCTGAAAAAGAAACTGTAAAACATTAGTAGTTGACACAACAGAGTACAAATATCTAATAAGCTGCGACAAACAACAACAACAACAACAAAAAAAAAAAAA